CCACTTCCGACGGGAAGGGTAAAGAGAATGCTGTCCAAAGGAATTTGTAACCTTCTTTCTGAAGGTGTTTTTGGAACACAATGCACTTGACGATTGGAAGCTACATATATTTAGCTTCTCATTTGCTGACATTTCTAAATATGGTAATTAAATGTTCCATGTAACAAAGACATCCATAAAACCAACTTATAATTTGCAATATTTAAGAAGCAAAAAAATTGTGTCATATTTAACTCATCAAGCACGTTTCTTCTTCCAGGAAAACCAAAAGGGAAGTCCGTGGCACAAACACACCAAGTTAGCACCTAACTCCGAACCTGGCTGTTCCAGACCTCTATGTAACTCCCAAATCTTCCTGGGCTCTTCCCTCGATCCCTCCCACAGACAGCTCAGAGAACAACATTTAGAAACCTAATACGTGAAAACTAGGTACTTACAGATTAGGGATAATACTCTCAATAATAATAATCGTTGAGAGCCTATTACATACCAGCCATCATTACTAAAAGTAATCGAAGGGCCTCGACTCAAAAATACTCATAGAACTAAACTGCTTTGAGACCATGTAACATCTCCAAGAGCAGACATGACCGTGTTCCTTCACATTTAACACACGCGCACGAGACGCACGGGCCGCACTGTCTCCCGGAGGCCGCACGAGCACCAGCCTGACGGAGAACGGCACGACTCCCAGAGTCTGAGCCTTTGCCCTCATTTGAGCATCAACGTGAATGTGGTTGTTTGCTGCCCTAATGTCCCGAGGCCGAGGGAGGAAGCCCAGCCCCCACCAGTCTAAAGACACTGTGTCTGCGAGACGTGGCAGCCTCGTCACTCTTCGTCTGTCCTGCGCTTCCTGTCACTCAGCAAAACGGACGCTCAAGGCTGCAACTCCTCTCCGCTTGACTCTAAGCCAGAGGAGGGCTGAGGGTAAGAGGTCTGTGGGGGCTCTGAGATGCCACCAGAGACCCCAACGACCGCTCTCCTGAGCCTAGTGCGCTACGGCACAGCCAGTGGGGCTGATGCGTAAATACGACACCACAGGAAGCAGGGTAACGTTGATTCCGGCTGCGTCTCACTGCCTCTGCTGAATCACCACGACCCTCACAGACTGAGGCTGAAACTAGCTTTAGTTTCCCCGCATGACACGCAACTGCAATGTTGTCCAAAAGAGACACTGACTATGCACAACACGTGGGTCGCATGATGTGCGAACTTCACCCCCCCCAACAGTCCGAGAGTCAGTCCTCCCGGTACCAACACACTAAGGCAAGGTCACTGTGACACGGAGGTTACAGGTGAGCAGGCAGCAGGACGTGATGTCTGCTGGCTGATTTACAAGGCCAGACCCTTAAATGTAGCCCAAGTTAAACTCAACGTCTAATTTCTCTGACACCAGATTGGTCCTCCCCCCTCCCTTTCCAGTTTTAGGCTAAAAGTAAAACCTCTGCCTTTCAATATCAGCCCGTGAAATTTGCTTTAATTCTTCTGTTGCCTGTTCTCTTCCTACTACAGTTTCCTCCAGAGAAGACAGGTGGTAAAAACTATGTTCGTTTCATAACAGAAAATTGTTTTTTGGTTTTAAAAATTTGCCTCTTAAGACTGTTTTGTTTCTACCAGCACATTCAGGGCACATTTCGGACACTGTGTTCTAATCACACACGTGCTGAATCTTTTTTTATGGTACTACCACACAACACACAGACAATACAGTTCTGGAAAAAAAATCTACAAAGGAAACAGACTTTCAATACACCGTATATCATCTGAATAGTAAAAAAAAGTACAGTCTGAAAAGGCATATTCCATATGAACATGAAATTCTACCTGAAAGAGAAAACATTATAAAATATTTTTTAGAAAACTTCTGGTTATTTAGGTATTTTGGCCCTGGCTGGTATGGCTCAGTGGAATGAGTGTTGGCCTGTGAACCAAAGTTCACCCATTCAATTCCGGGTCAAGGGACATGTGTCTGGGTTGCGGGCCAGGTGCCCAGCTGGGGCACCAACAGATCAATGTTTCTCTCGCACATTGATGTCTCTCTCCCCCTCTTCCTTCCTCCCTTCCCCTTTCTCTGAGAGTAAATAACGCCTTTTTAAAAAAATAAAATAAATATAAAGTAGTTATTTTCAACAAGTACAGGACAGATTCAGAACATTTAGGCCATGTTTCCATGAAATGCATTCAAAGTTGTACTTGAAAACAGCATCTCATTTGATGACCTTGAAACCTTTTTTTTTTTTTTTTTTAAATTTTAGAGAGACGGGAAGAGGGGAGGGAGAGAGAGAAACACTGATGTGAGGGAGAAGCATCGACTGGTTGCCTCCTGCATGTGCCCATCCAGGCACCCAACCGGCGACCCTCCAGTTTGTAGGATGACGCTTAACCAACCAACCGAGCCGCACCGGCCAAGGCTGAAACCATTCCTACAGGTGATACCTTTCCTCATTTATCAATTTTATGTTTTGCTGCTAGTAATTTTATTTTATCTATTATAAATCAAATAGTATAATTTTTCAAGAACTTGAGTAGTTCATTAAAGATCATTAGATTCCCTGTGATGTAGTGAAAATCATCTTCGTATCTAATTAGTAAATGCTTTCCACATCTTCATTTAAGTGTGCTCGTCACATTTAAATTAAGGAGGTGGCTCTTCCTGGCAATGGAAGCAGACACCATGAGAGGGATAAAACAGCGGTGTTCTTCCGCTGCTGTCTGCGAAGAGGGGAGGGGAACGTGCGGGTGGTCTCCAGGAGCAGAGGGCAGCGCCCCGCCCCTGCTGGCGAGGAACCGCAGTCCCCAGGCCTGTGATCACAGGAAGTGAGCGCCACTACACCCAGGCACCCTCCGAAGAGGCACACCAGCTCCTGCAGAGAACGGTTTCAGCCTTTGGCGAGTCCCTGAGCAGACAACCCGTCAGGCCGTGCCCAGACCCGGACAGACCACAGGGCAGCGGTAAGTGGGTGCTGTGCATCTGAGGTCTTTGTTAGGCAGCACGAGAACGGACGTGAGCACTAACCAGGCTAAGTCATACGGCTGGATTCGGAAGGACCCCGAGAAGTTTACTGTAAGCTCAACGTCCTACTTCCAGAAATGGATCGAACACTCAAGACAAACAATACTAAGAAACCAAAGAAGGGCGCTGTTAGATCAGACACCCACACAGCACAGGAAACCTGAGAAGTTTTAGACCTCACTGGCCACAGAATCACCCGGTGACAAATGTCATAAAAATCAACATAATCTTAACAGGAAAAAGGTGATTGGGGGGGGTTAGCCCCTTTATTTGCGAACCAAAAGGCGGGACTAGGTCATTTTTACGGGCTCTTCCCCGCCTCCTACGACCCTTGGTCAGACTCGGTCGGCCCCGCCTGTTTTGTGGGCTTCACAGAAGCCTGGGCCCTGACCCAGACCCCACAGTCGCTCAGGGCCCACCTCGCTTCTTACAGAACGCTGAGTTGGAAAAAAGGGCGACTGAAGGGTCTTTGTCACAGCAAAACACCAAAGTGGACGAGAGCAAGGCTCTCTTTGCACATAAAAGTCCCTTTGATATTTTCAAACGATCGTTCTTTAACTCTGGCTCCGAAAACTGGGAGTCTGTGTGTATGTGCGGGGGGGAGCTCAAGAGGTCATGTAATGTTAACAGAAAAGGAGCAACTGGCTCAGGCTCTGGGAGCAAATTATTACTCTCAGTTTAAATCTTTGTTTAAAAAGGTATGCATTCAGTATAAATTAGATACTTAAAATTTAATTGGTTCTTTTATTAAGCTATGACCGGGATGGGGGGATGTAGCAAAAACTTAAAAAAGGGTTGCTTTTGCACCTATAAGGCTCGTTTAATGCTGCAGCCTAAGTAAATTCTTAGAGAAGAAAAATTCATTGTCATTTTTATTCTAAATGCCCTGAAATCAACTGCGAGGCCAGGACTTCTGGAAACTTGTTAATAATAATGAGTCTAGTACTAAATAGCCAGAAATTTATCTTAATATAAATGGAAATGTTGAAAACTCCTAAAAAAATAAAAGGTCAGAAGAAACAATAAAAAAAACAATCAGCCCTGGCTGCTGTGGCTCTGTGGACTGAGTGCCGGCCTGAGAACCACAGGGTCGCAGGTTTGGTCAGGGCACCTGCCTGGGCCGTGGGCCAAGTCCCCAGTGGCGGGCGGGTGAGCGGCAGCCACACGGTGATGTTTCTCTCCCTCTCTTCCCCCCTCTCTAAAAATAAATAAATAAAGTATTTTAAAGAAAAGAATCACAGAACTTCACTACTCTAGAGAAATATACTTTTTAAGTTTGGTGTGACCACGGGGGAGGGGAAATTCAAGGGGTTGCAAAAGACTTTCAGTAAAACCAAAACCATAAGCAAAAAAAAAAAAAAAAGCCCACCATAAAAGCTTTTCTCTTTCCTCTTCATCTACTTTAGTTTAGAGATGAGGACTGGGGGGGGGGGGAAATGGGAGGGAGGGGGGAGACAGGGGGGAGCCTGGAGGGGGGGGGGGTGGGATGGGAGAAATAGATTAAAAAAAATGTACTTGAAAAGTAACTAAATAAAATTTAATATTAAAAAAAAAAGAAAAAAAAATCAAGCTCTAATTCTAACAGTCTCCAACAAAGAGAGAAAAGCAAATAATAAATTAATTCACCTAAATTGCAATTTGATGAATTACCCTTTCCAAGAGTATGCCAGAGAGAATCTGAACAAAGACCAATGGCAAACCCGAAGGTTTGGATCAACTGATGAAGCAGCCAATGAATATAAGGAGGTATCTTGAGTGATTTTTCCCTCTAATTAAATCACATTAGCAATTACCTGTGTCACGCTGTACATATGTTTAAACCAAAATAAAAGCTGTTTTTACATTTAAAAATAAATAAATAAATAAATAAAAATAAAACCTTCCAGCATCCTCTAAATAACAAACTGATTAGGAAATACCCTGACATTAAAACACGTACTCAAACACCGCACTCCTGGCTCTCCCGCGCCCCGCGGCCCTCCCCTACCTTGTCTATCCTATCCGGGCGGTTGGTGGCGGCCAGAACCGTCACGGCCTTCAGCTGCTCGACGCCGTCCATTTCCGTGAGGAGCTGAGCCAGAACGCGGTCGGCCACGTTCCCAGCACCGGAAGAGCTGCCATTTAAAAACACGGTTTAAAGAGTATGTGAGTATGTTTACCTGTCCTCGAAAACAGCATTCTTCTAAAATACTGTACATTATATAACAAGCAGAATCATGTCTGTTTCAAAATATAAAATGCACCCTTCAGAATCCATTACTGGCTGAATTATCGTATCCCAACACTAACTGTATCCAAACCATTTCCCTTCCTCATCATCAGCCAGGTTCATTTTCTCCCCGACAATGACTCGCTACGCGCACATGGAACGTGATGGAGCGCGGAAGAAAGGTGTGCTGCTTAGAAAGAAGTGGGCGGGTGCGAGAAACTCGAAGGAGACAGTCAGTAGGGCTGGTAAACACAAGTCTCCATGAGTCACAGGGGAAAAGAACTTGAACTGTCTACACACTGGACTTGAAGTGCCCGTGGGACATCTGGAGATGTGCACATAAAAGAAGTCTGTGGCAGAAATATGTCTCCTGAATTCTTTGCCACCAAGATGGTACCCGGAGAGATGCCAAGTAGGACAGACTGACCAGGAATGGGCGACGAGTGAAGAAAACTGAACAGCTAACGCACAGAACTCTATCACCAGTCTTTGGAAGGGCGATGTATTGGTGTGCTCAGGTGGCCAGGACAAAATACCACAGACTAGGAGCTGAAGCCACGGAAATTCACCTTCTCATCGTTTCGGGGGCTGAAAGGTCAAGGTGAGGGTTCCCACATGGCTGGGCTCTGGTGAGGGCTCTCTTCGGGGCTTACAGACGACCACCCTCTTGCTGTGTCCCCACGCAGAAGATGAAGACACAGAAACCATGCTGTCTGGTGTGTCTCTTTTTGTAGGGACATGAAGCCCATCGCGGCTGACCTCATCTAAACCGAGTTGTATCCCAAAGGCCTAATATGACCTCGAAGTTCTTTGAGAAAGCATTACGTAGCACTTCGTTATTCTTTTTTGGAGCTTTCTGACAGATGAACGTATCCCAAAGCTTCCAAATGCTTCTTTACAATGAAGATGATGTTTCTATGCACACAAATGCAGGTCACAGAATTTCCCAGTTTTGTCCCAGTGGTTCATTTTTTAAGCAATGACACTAAAAAATGGTGAAGTCAGACTCTGAGAACCAGCTGAGTGAACCCAACCTCTAGCTTCTCTGTGCCTTCAATTCTCATTCGAGAAGGAAAGGTCTGGTGTTTCCATGGTGGACACAGGGCTAGAAAGTTGAGATAAGCGGCAGGACACATTACTGCTCCTCTGAGGACTTTATCTTATTGGCGATGAGTGAAGAAGTTAAATTAAATCTCACACACACACATACACACATCCTTCTAGCTGTAGAATTCTGCGCTCTGTGATGGTATTAAGCCGCACCTAGTACCTTAACTCATTATTTTTTATAAACATGTGCATATTCAGACACTTCCCACTGACAGCCCCAAGCCAGCACTTCTAAACCGAAGAGGCGAACTTGTGCTTGTCCAGTTTGCTGTCTGCCGTGGGAGGAAACGGTGGCTGTCAATGCCGCAGGAGATGAGGTGAGGGAATTCCTGGGACTCCCATCGCCCGAGGCTGCCCCACCCTTCCTCTCCACCGGTCATCGAGAGCTGGCCGGAGAACGGCACCGTGAGGACGTTTTATGGGCTGAGAAATACTCTCGGCCCAATTTCAAAGCTGCAGCAGGAAACTAAAACCATAAAACTGACATCCTAGGAAACCAACTCCCAAAAAAGTCTGAAAACAAATGTGTAATCACTATCATAATGAAATGATTTTACAGAACTTTATTATCTGCTAGAGACAGTCAACATGAAAATGGGGGGGGGGGGGAAGTTCAGCTGTAGAAAATATGCGAGCTACACTTTCCCAAAACATTACTTCTTGTCTCTTAAGAAGTCAAGCCACTTTTTCAAATTATTCATATTCAAAAGTCACATGGTAATACCACAGACCGGAGGGACTTTATATCTCAGAACAAGTCAGGAGCCACAGCCACAGCCCGAGCCCAGCCAGCCGACTGTTTCTGTGTGACCGCTGCTCACTGGGGCCCCTTCTGCGCTGCAGAGGTGGAGACGGACAGTTGCGGGAGAGGCTGCATGGCCCTCAGAGTCAGAAATATGCGCTCTCTGGCCGCTGCAGAAATCTCGCTGCCACAGTGGTAATTCGTACACCGATTTTTTTATTTTTCAATACTCAATATTTCCCAAAAATGATCATTTATTTCCTTCTCAGGGAATAAAATTCCCTATCATCAGATTTCTAAATTATAGACCAACATCTCATTTACCCGGTTTAAAAATTTTCAATGTTTTTCTAGTCTACATATTAAAATGTCATAAAGAGCTCCAAATGGTAGGCGTCTGAATTTGTTTCTTAAAATCCATCTCCCACAGCCTCGCAGTCATTACTCAGGCTCTGAAGAGACCTAAAAACGACCGAAAGGAGGCCAGCCAAAGAAATTCCACTCTGAGCCCAAGCCCTACCTACAATTCTCATTATTCATGTAAAATGCAAACTTTCATTTTAAAGGCAAGACAGGAACAAGAGGAGAAACCACCTGCCCCACGCCAACAAAGAAGAGATTCTCGGTCCCCAGTCCAATGCACAGGGCCCTGTGTCACAGCACAGCGGGACCCTCCGTCTGTGCGGCCGCAGGACTGAGCTCAGACACACACACAAACGAGGCACTCACGGAGCTCTGCCGCACACGCATGGAACTCTCTGAATGAAAAGCCCGTCAGACACTTTCCGTGTCTTTTGCTGTTTTCTCCAGCATCTGTTTAATACGCGAGTTTACCAATGTGAAAACCATGCGTGCTAGGAAACAGGCCCTGTATTCAGAGACTTGAAACACAGACATGCAAAAGAACAGTGGCTAGAGTTTTTAATAAGTGGTTTTTGTTCGGGTCTATAATACGTAGAGTTATCCTTTATGTAATTAGATAATTTTTACCCAAAAAACACACACCCAAATCCTGACAGTATAAGAAGCCGTTTAAGAGCACAACCCCAGAAAGTCGAGTTCCGGTCTTGCTGAGACCTCGAAGGAGCTGGCGGGCCTCTCCTCTCAATTCTAGGGGCTTCTGTTTCTTCTGAAGAATAAAACCTTGCACTACATGACTTGTAAGAATCTTTGCAGCTACAAAATTTTATGAAATTTTAAAAACCACCATAAAAACCACATTAAAACCATTTAAAACCCTCCTTGAAAGTGTCGTTCAGAGAAATGATGCCTACAGAAACTTCTACGGTGCTTCGTGCCATGAATTCACGACTTTACCTGAGCTCCAAACACACTACGGAGAGGCCGCCCCATTTCCTGACCTTTAACTGTAAAACTCGGAGCTCTGCTCAGAATGCTGCGGAGCCTGCAACCCTCGCCTGCCATGAAAGCTGGCTCCAAACGGCTTGCGGTTACGGCCCCTCCAAGTGCAGACCCACTGGCATGGAAATGGCCACGCCCGTCACCTGTCATCGGTATCACAGATCTGCCAGCACCTCCTGGGAGACACCCAGTCAGTCGGCTTCCAACTGAGCACCGAATCTTCTTCATTTTCCATACACTCATCTTTTGTACACTCTAGTCCTAAAACAACATCCTGAATGGTTTTGCATATAACAGCATTAGTTTTATAAAACAGAAAGTCATCCTCTTTCACCCAAATAATAACACTGTCTTACTTCTATTTCTAGAACAAACTTTATATTTTAATTTTTTGAAATCAGAATGTCTCTTGGCGTTGGTTTCTCAGCACCATTTCACAGTTTGAAGCTGAACTTTCCTTCGCTAATGCTACACCAATGACCTTACAACTGATGACGGTTAATGGCATGCATCTTAGCTTAATGAAATCTCATAGTGCCTGTCACCTGTAGAATACTTTTCCTAATTTCCAAAACACTACCATTTCCTCTGCTAAAATATAAACTCTGTTGGGCAGGACTTATTTTTATCCCTGGCACTATATGTGTGTATGAAAATTATTATTATTATAAAAATACCCATGCAGAAGTTATAAGAAATGCTGAGGTTTTTTAAGTGGTCAGGAAATGCCAGGTACTGTGTGAAACACTTTTGGGGGTGCCCAACCCACGGCCAGGACAGCTGTGAATGTGGCCCAACGCAAAACCGTAAATTTACTTAAAACACTATGAGGTTTTTTTTTTTTTTAATGTGTTGCAAGGTATTTAAGGTGCAGCCCAAGACAACTCTTCATCCAGTGTGGCCCAGAGACGCCAAAAGGCTGCACAGCCCTTGACATGTATTTAATTCTGACAACCTAGAATTTGTCACTTCTGACTCCGTTTTGCAAATGAAGAAACTGTGGCATACAGCGGTACAGAGAATTGTCTCAGGTTCTGCTCAATGTTTATCCCTAACACCAAGCTTGCTGCAGAATAAGCATTCAATAAATATTCACTTGAACAGAGTCTAACAATAGCCCAGTTAGACAGACAGGCTCTCTACTATGCAAGTCACTGAGAAAATGCACAATGAATACAAGGTTGAGAGGTAAGATAGTGAACCACTTAGACCTGGACTCTGGAATCTATGGTGTGGTCGTCAAGTCAAAGGGCGGCTGGGAGGGGCTGCTCCGAGTGTAAGCACCTGAGTTCCAACCCCAGCTCTGCCACCAGTGAGACCGGACAGCGGAAGGTATTTACACAACTATATGCCTCAGCTGCCTCACCCGTGACATGGAGGTGGGGACAGGGCCCACACCTCCTGGGGCTGTTGTGACCATCTGAACACAACACAACAAATGGCCACACCTCGAAGAGCAACAAAGGGATTATTTGGAAGTTAAATAAGTAAACAAGATGGTCCCCTCCAGCTCTACACTCTCAGTTTGGAGATTCCCATAGAGGTATCTGCTAGTTCTGCTTGAAGTCTCGGTGAACCGGGCAACCAGTGTCAGCTGATGAACTTGATTCAAGACCTGGGACAAAGGAAGGTTTGCTCCAGGAGTCTCCAGCTTAGCCAGTGGCCATGTCCTCAGTCACGGGGGGCCAGGCCAAGAGAACCCAGAACCTGGGGCTCCCCCATACCGGTCCACTCTGGGGACAGGGCTGCCACCCAAGACAAGGCTGCCGCCCAAGACAAAGCTGCCTGATGAATTATTGCCCACCTTGTTCTCCAAACCGTCAAGAAGGCAGAAAGTTATGGTAGCTGGGGGTGCGGGGGGGGGGGTGCAGGCAAAATACCAAAGACAGTAGTCAATCGTATAATGTCTTATTTAGCATTCATGCAGGGGTCTTTTTGTGACTTTTTTCTTTGCCTGTAAAGCACTTAAAAGTTCCTAGAGCCTAATAAGCACTAAACAAATGTTATCTAATATTAGCAGCCTTGTATATAATTCAAATCCCTCCCCTGCTTCAGCGCCTCACTTCCTCCCCCAGCACCTATTTTCCAAAGAGCTGTGCTGCTTTAACAGCATTTCCAGTTTCCCCAAATGTTACGAGGTCACTGAAGCACTTTGCAAAAGGAATCTTACCTTTCCTCCAAATGCCAATATGAAATAAGACAAAAAAAATCTATTCGGAACCCCGTAATTTCAACGAGCACACAGATAAAAAGAAGTGAAAGTAAGCCTTATTTATCTTCAAGTCCCAAAGAAAGGTAAATGGGCAGAAAGGAGCAGAAAACAGCGGTTGTCATTAGACACTTTTTTAAGTGTGAAAAAGTCTGAAAGCACAAACATGTCCAAAGCAACACACGTCTCCACTCCACTCACAATGCACTGCCCACAGCTCTCCATTTTCATGGCTGATGAGTAACTTGAAACAGTCCAAATTAATTGGTGTAATATGCACAGGACAGTAAAGACTAGTATATATACCATAATTCTCTGCTCAATTTATTAGACATCTTAAGTTTGGAAATTACGACCTTTATAAGAAGAAACAGTCTTATCCACTGTCACGTCTGTCCATATGGATTTTATCTAAATGTTACTGTTTGAACAAATGAAAGTAATGACTATTCTATAGCCCAATGTTATGCAGAAATGTCTCCTAGTTTATGGAACTCTTTATTTTTCTATGTTTTCCATTTCTTTAACAGGGCATAAAATTGGTTTAGTATCTTTAAAATTTTATACTTTTGGATCCTTCACCAGCCTTTTTTATAGTTCCTAGAAACTGTTTAATTTAAACAGCTGAAGAACAAAAACATACAACATACATGTAGAGCTTTTATTTGCTTTAGTTTTCAGGTAATAGCAACCTAATCAGACAGAACAATCACTTTCTAGGCAATGCTGGCTCATCCCAAAAACGAGGAGGGAAAACCCCCGAGAGCAGCATCATTCTAGAATATTCTTGGGGCCAGAACAAACCAACTACGAGAGACTCACTGTAACTCAGGTGCAACCCAAACTCCCTACTTTGGATTATTAGCATCACATTTGCTTACCAGTCCCACCTTTGTTTTCTGAAATGTCAAATGACTTTGACCCAGAATTTTCTCTACAAAGGTAACCACACAGAATTCGCTTGTACTTGATCAGATCGAGCCATTGAAGGAGGGACGCACACAGCACAGAATAAGATGGCCACTGTCCGAGGAAATGACACCTAAAGGACGCAGATCATTAGCATCTAGCAAATTCCCTGAGCTTAACTGCCTGCAAAAACAGGAGATTTCCACCAAGTGCCTTGTCTGGTTTCTCGTACCATTTTACTACAAAAGCATTTTATGAGAATCTGCTACATATTCTACCTCCCATCTGGCTCACATTTAACATTGCATCCCACCCTGCTCCTTCACAGGCTCCACAAACACATGTCCCCAATGTCAAATGAGTGAGGCAGGTCGCACTGTTCCAGCTAACTGCTCTGGTTTCTGTCTCTTCTTTTGCAGTTCAGGTAAACTTGAGCTATCTGCAGTCGTGCCATCTCACCTCGAAGTACTGAAAGGGTCCGGGCACGTTAACTCATCAAATACAAAGGCCGGTGGTGTTCACAGGAGCTGTGACGGTGGACGGAGAGTAGTGTGGCTCCCAGAGAGGGGGGAGGGGCAACGCCTCCTGCTGCATGTTTGCCTGCCGCGCAAGTGGCACCCTCTGCCCGCACAGCCACTGCCAGGGGCGGACTTTTAGACTCAATGTACACATCAGGAAGCTATGCACGAGGCGTACAAATGATCATTCTCCCACATGAAGACTTGTGCATGCTCCTTAAAGGACCTCTAAACACTTGCAGAGAAAAAATTACCATACTCATAAACAGTTTTTTGAGATTTATATGATCATAAATTTAAACTATTCAAAATAATTCTCTTTACTGCTTGAGATTCTATTCTATTGTACCTAATTATATTTTAGGAAATAGGATTTAATCCAGAGAATAGTAAAATCTGTATAACAACATCCTTTGTTATAACTGGTTTCTATTCTATCATGTATTACACTTAACTGACCTTTGTTTATAGTTTTAATATTTATAAAAGCTCAAATTTTGATATAGTACTAAAGATCCCTCTATAGGTAATAAACCATAAAAATTAACTCAAATGTCCCAAAGGAATATCAGTGTTTTTTCAATTGCATATGAAATCATATACAGGAAGTAACTGAATGGGTGCAACACAAAAAAACCGCACGAATGGCGAAATGTTTTCCTTTAGGCCCGACGGACGAATGAATACAGTGGGCATCGGAAGGGTACTTGACTCTGCACCACAACTGCCCCCCCCCCCCCCGCCACAGCGGGCCCGCACGGCAGTGCTCACCTGCCCCTTTCCACGGCGAGGGCGTCCAGCTCATCGAAGAAAACAATGGAAGGAGCCACGGCTCTCGCTCTGCGGAACACCTGGGGAAGGAGCGCCGGGTTAGCCAGAGATCGGCGACCTCCAAGAAGCCCCGTCGCTGGTTTTAGTTTGAAAATGGTTTAGAACGTTATCTATGATGTACAGTTGGCCCGATAAATACACACCACACTGGACAAGACGGCAGCGGGGATCCACCAAGGCCCATCTACAGACACAAGGGAAGCAATGCGGCTGCGCGAGCAGACGGTCTGGGCTAAAGCCCCGCCTCCACCTCTGGGTGCGTGGCCGCCGGTGGGCGGCTGCGCTGCTCTGACCTGCAGTCTCCGCACCTGCCTGGCGCGGAGTGCTCAGTGCGAGGCTCCTAAGATTATTCCAGAACTGACTAGAAAAATGATGCAAAGCACTTAGCACAAAGTCTAAAACATAGTAGTGCTCAGTAAATGAAAGGTGTGATGATCATAAACATATGTTTAAAAGAAAAGCCGTAAATGTGTAAAATTAACCATAGCTTTGCTTCTAAAATAGTTAAACCTCAGTTCTGTACTGTCTTGGTTCTCGACCATGTTGCTCACAGAAAAAAAACGCCTCGGTTGCCTAACAAATCTTCAAGTCTCGGTTCCCTACCCGACGACCCTTTCATGCCGATACCTGTGTGATTGGTCACGAGTCTCTCCAGTGACAAAGGGGGTTTGGATTTTGAACAAATTGCTTCTCAAAAGGTTTTCTAGAACACATTAAGCTTGAGAACCAGGGTTCCACTTGCCCATAAACTCAAAAGCCACGCCCCGTGTTCACCTCACTGGAGACTTTATGGGAAAGGAATACTTGACGTAAAGCCAGGACAAAAACAAAGACCAAAACCTGGAAGACCGTAGCTGGACAGACTGCCAGACTGCCAGCACCAGAGACTGGCCAGAGAGCCACGAGGTGGCGCACGGGCGCGGGCCAGAGTCAGCACAGGCGCGGAGGGCCCACGGGCGTGCTCCCTGTGACCTAGGGCCCCCCCCACCTTGTCACAAGCGTAAAGCTACGGAACAGTTACCAGAACAGTAAGAAACATCACCTTCTTCATTTTAATCAGTGATGGTGTTATCATCAATTAACATTTTATACAATTATCATCATCTACGTTAAAGAAAAAACAAAAAGGGACTTAAATTTTTTCTCAAAGTGTCCCCATCTCTACTCCTAGGCACGTCACAAACGCGGCCACCGTGCACAGCCGCGTGGGCCCCTGTCCACGCTGCGCTCCAGTGAGGGTGCGGGGCCTGTGCGAGACAGACAGCGCCCCTCCGCCCGGCAAAGCCAAGACTCGCGGGCAGAGGCTGCAGCGGCCCGACCCCAGTGCCGGGGCTGCGCACAAACTGGGCCTGTGTGGCTTCTGCGCGAGGGGGAGCGGACTGTCGGTCAGGCTTCGAAACCTGGGGGCGGGGGTGCCCTGTCCAAACCGCCGGGCAGCGGTAAAAGAAGGACAACAGGAGAGCGTGGCGGAATGCCACACTCTGAGAGTGTTTGATTCAAAGGACTGCCTAGTTCAAACAATTTAAATGTTCTGAGATCACATGTTCCTTCCAAGGGCAGACATGTCCTTTTAAAAAGTGAAATGCAGGTACTTGTTTTAAAATCTGTGGTAAAACTAAAGGGTACTACACTATGAGTCTTAAAAACAAAGTATGGATCAAAATTGCATTTTTAAATAATAAAATAGTATTTGCCTAAAGAAAAAATGTGCTACCAGAATTGGGATGTGGACTCTCGACCTCTGCAACCCAAAGGAAAAGGGAACCCGCACAGCGGACAGGAGTCCACGCAGAGGACAGAGCGCGCTCTACCGAGCGGGCGGAGCCCCGCTGGGAGGCGCCCTCTTCTTACCTCTCTAACGGCTCTTTCGGACTCACCGACATACTTATTCATTAACTCGGGCCCCTGCACGAGAAGAAAACAAGTGTTCAGTTCGAGGAAAGAGCAAATACATCCATGAAGTAAGAAGAGGTGGGGCTGGGGGAGGGACAAGCAAAAATCTGCTTTTAATTAAATTAGTTCCTTCAGCAGGCTTATTTTCACTGGGTGTCATCTGTGCCTCAGAAATGAAAGCTACTCCGCGTTCCAAGAACGACATCGATTCAAAGGGAAGGCTGTGACTGTAAATGTTCACCTGTCTGCCCATCGCCCACACCTTCACGCTCCAGCAGGCCCGGCGCTGGACACTGAGGGTGAGCGGTTTAACCTGGAGACCAGCAGAGGGAACACTGAGCTCCCAGACCGAGCCGCTGCCCGCTCCGAGGGGTCCATGTGCTAGGGTCAAAGTCCACCAGATCCACAGAGCTCAGAGCTTCCATCCTTAGGACCACACGGAGCTCCTGGAAATGGAGTGGGAACCACGGAGTCCGTGGCAGGATGCCGCAGGGTTGCCCCGACCTGGCCACCCGGATGCTCTCCAGGGCCCAACCTGCTCCTCTCGGCCATGCCCTGGCCAGAGGAGACTGCTCCTGTGCAACAGTGTCACAGGGCCACGTGGTGTCACATTGTGGCAATTTCCTGTCACCCTCGTCACCCTCGTCACCCTCAAAAGTCTGCATCCATCTTCCTTAGCTATCTGCCACTCAACACTTCACCTGGGTGACGGGAAATGCCTCTTGCCCCGTGTCCAGGCGTGTTGGAAGGGCACCGAAGATGAACGGGGCAGACTCCGTGTAACAAAATCCACCGAATGTCAGTGACTGGATACCGGCAGGCGGGCCCTGTATAGGTGGCAGGTCTCCCAGTGGTCCACTGCCAACCACGGGTCAAGGGGGCACACTTCCAACATTTAGCACTCTGAAGTCTAGCATTTTCTTCTTTCTTAAATACCTAAAATGATCACATCTGGTGTGGAAAAACAATAGGTTTCCTCTTTCACAGCACACCTCCCTACTTTCTCATGTCACACAGTCGTCCCACCACAAGAAGTCCTAGGATATTAAAAAAACACAGAACACTTCTGCCCGAGACCCACAACCACATCCCTCGGACACCAGTGGACCCGCCGCCCGACAGCCCGGACGTCCTCCTCGGCCGTGGGAGGGTTCGCTCACCACACTCACTGTTCTTCCCACCACTGCCTGGCTCCTCATGACGCCCTTTCCCCAAATCCAGCTGCAGATCCAACAGGGGGTGGGGGTGTGTGTTTCTCTTTCTACAAACAGCTCATGGTGAACAAGGTTCGGGTTCTACCCCTGCACGCCATGGCTCAGGCACTGAGGGGACAGGCCTAGGCCCTGGCTGAGCGCTGGCTACACCATTTACGTCAGTCAGAAACACCGGACCGAGGCACCCTGGCAAACAAACGCTCGCAGAGTGTCAGCTAATGCCACACACTGGGACAGGTGATGCTCGGCTTCCACAGAGAAACCACAGCACAGCAGGACCGGTGCTGCTGGGGCAGAGGCAGGCGCAGGCGCCGCTGAAACACAGAAGAGGAACTGCGCCCAGGCCAGAGGGCCCTGCAGAAAGACACCGCGGGCCAGTCCTCGGTGGGTCTTCTGTGCCTTCCAAATCAGAAGGTTCTCAGACCAGCCCTAACGGACGGCGTCATGTGCACTTGAACTGTAGGAAGCTCAGAAGGACTTTCTTCAGAGCGCACTGACTCTTTAAGGGCACACAGGACAAGCAGCCTGAGCCCAGCAGACTGGCAGCCGTGGGAGCGGCAGGGGTGGGGGCCAGGCGAGAAGGGCGAAGGGACTGAACAGAGAAGACAGACAGACTCGCACACACAGATAATCATATGCTGACTGCCAGAGACATGGGGGCGGGGGGGAGTTAGGGGGAAGGAGAAGAGGATAAAGGAGGGATAAAGGGGAGAGTGAGGAGGAAGGAGTAAGAAACGTTTATGCGGAATTCAGTTTAGGGTGACTGATTAGGCAAGTGTGGCCTGATCATAATCAGAAAGGAGATTACTGGTATCTGTGTTTGTATTGTAATTATCATCACCCCAACTGCATTGCTGTTCCTGTTCTTACAGCAACTCCTCATCAGAGTCTAGGGCATGACACACAACAGTAACCTGGTGAAGACGTTTCTCTACATAGGCAATACGCTCAATGCGTTTATTCTGCTTTCTAATCATTTGGCTCAACTGAAGACAAGCAGTCAGAAAACCTGGAGGAACAGTGCTGTTCTCCACAGACTGGTTCTAAAAGAGAACAGAGCTTGACCATCACTGCGGAGAGTACCAGACTACAACCACCGATAATCTCGGAGAACCCGACCAGGCGCCCGTCTGTGATACCAGCAAGACCACCACGCACCGAGCATCTGGTGTGCAGGCAGACAGACTTGCTATCCCGGTGAAAATGGGGAAATACGGCGAACGGACTCAACCAGTGCAGGCTCACGCCTCTCCCACATGGAGCAGGGCTGTCGGACACCTGTGGGGGAGGAACAGTGCTCTTTCCCTAAAAACAAAACAAAGAAAAAAGGAAAGAAAACATCTGAAAATCTGGCTAGAACTCAGCACTGTGAAGACGGTCTGGGCCGGAGTAACTGATGTGTCACTCACATCAGTTACAAGCGGTGAGGACACACAAGCGGTGAGGACACACAAGCAGTGAGGACACACTCCAGGGCCCCGAAGCGCCTGGGGCCGTGTGCAGAACCACGTCCGCACCAACACACGTGACCTTGGAGACGGGCCGTGAAACGCAGCCCCAGAAGCTACAGTGATTATGTGATGTGGGTCCAGAATTCTCTTAAAAGATCAAGCAGTATCATCACGAAGGAAGGTTATTTTGAGCTTGAAGTTCAAACTGCCAAAAATCACTGTATTCCGGTACACAGAGCTGCAAAAGATTAAATTCACTTTCAAAGATATGTACTACATTTTATTCTAACACTAACACAAAACTTAAGGGAACCTAAAATGGGCTGCTACACTTCTTTGTTCAATTTGCAATCAAATATACACCTAATTCTCAAACACAGAAAAAAGCAGCAACTAAGAGCATCAGCTAATATTACAAAGTCTTGCCAAAGGCTTGATATCTATTATTCCCCTTTACTACTTACCACACTTCTCTGAGATGGATGTTCTTAAGATCATAGCTTTACAGAAAAAAATCTGAAGTACAAACAAGGTACGTAATTTGCACAAAGTCACGCAGCTTAGAAAATAGCAGAACAGTGACTTGAGCTTCTTCACTGTCCATCACACCTGACAATTAGAGAAAACGCCCGAGTGTTTAGCCATCACCAGGCACGAAGGACGAGAGACACCTAAGAGAAGCAGCACTGTGTGAGCCGGCCACGGGAAGCAGCAGAGGACGGGCGACAGGAGCCGGGCGGTCCAACCTGCCTCGCTCAGAGCCTGGGGAGACCCGGGCCCAGGGGCGCGGGACGCTCGAGGCCCCCGGGGAAGTCAATCAGCAGACAGGACGGCGAGAACACAGGCTCTGGCTCCCAGACTACTGCTTTTTCTAAAAACCACAATGTCCTCTGTTTTTGCCAGGTCCTTAAAAAAAGAGAGAAATGCCCTCTTAAGAGCTCACATAGTACCCGCAAATTCAAATCGAAGGGTGTTTGTGCAGCAGGTCACGAGGCAGGGCAAAGTCTAACTCTCAGTAAGCAGCTGCCGGCAGGGGCACAGGTGTGCCCCGCACTTGCTCCCAAGTTATTCCACTTCTTAAAAAGGCACACGTAAATCCCCAGAGTGGATTTATCCAACTGCAACCTTATCCAACCAGGCTGGATAAGGTTACTTCTTTCCCAACCTCACTCGCCAGACAGGACGGTGTGTCGGTCCTGCCCCGTGTCACCTGCCTAGATTCCACGTGCTTCCCTGATAAGGGTGAGCAAGAAAAAAGACCAAAAGGAAGCACCGTAAACGGGCTTAGCTGGGGTAGCACTATTAGCGGTTTCCACGGCTGAGATCAAGTGTTCACATTTACAAAACAGCAGGAACAACATAAATACATGTGAAATACTCATCTAGCTGTGGAATCCAATGCAAACTAAACCGACCTTTTACTGTTTCAGTATTTTACACCGTATCAGTCTCAAATTCAAGGGTAATACTTGCGCCTAGTGTTCTCGCAGTTTTGCCCCTTTAATCTACTGGGTTTCTCCTGGTCTTCCCAAGGGCTTTTTAAATGTGTCTGACACCTGCCCGCTGCTTTTGGCCATTACAATTCAAATCAAGTTTTTATAAGTTCCAAAATGTCTAGGGAAGGCAAGTTAACCTAAGTGTTAACTACGGTTAAATGTTACGGAATATGCTCATAAAAACCCAAACTCACATGAGATAGAATTACATGTATGTAATGCAAGTAAAGGGTCTTGAAAATTAATAGAAAGAACAGCATCGGCACATACAGAAGGCCATTTTGGGAAAGCACTTCAAAGAGTTTGAAAACAGGCATTAAATACCAGGCCCTGGGTAAGTAAAAACCCCCAAAAGCAACAAAGGCTGGCAGGGAAGGGAAGAGAGAGCTCAAGCTGTTCCTCCCAAAATGTGTAATCCAGGCTCTCCCCCAAACTCGGTCCCTCCGAAGGAAATAACCCTGTGTCAGAAAGACGCCGTGCTGACCACGCTCGGCCTGGTGGGGAAGTGTCCCTGTGCCCACGACAACCCGTGTCTCTCCCCATGTCCCTTCCTGTTTACGATGCAGAAACTACGACACCAGGTCTCAGGGTCCTACTGCCATCTCTGGAAAGGGCCACTCTCTGGAGCCACAAACCCACACTTACGACGGCCACCAGGGCCGCCTGCCGGATTGTGTAACGCATTCCCACCGCCGCGCGTCTCATCCGGTGGGTGTCTGCTCCCCACCCCCCGCCGCCTCTCCTCCTCACTGGCCAACTCCTCCCACATTCCGGTATTTCCACCTGCCAGTCACTGGAAGTAAACGGTTTAATCACCTTGGACTTCTCCCTTCCTTTCCGCTGTCTCCTTG